GAATGCCTAATCCTCATCACAATCCCCCTACAGCATTAAACCCAGAAACATTTTTGTTGCCATACTGGGCTAGCACATGGGCATCTGAAAGGGAATGATGAGGCAGGGGGCACAGAAAACCAAGTGCTCAGAGTGACAGAAAGAGAACACGAACGAACTACGGGTGAGGGTTGTTTTTTAACCAAATCTTCCATACAGGAGAATAATTTTACAGACAACGGGCCTGACCCTCAAATGGTGTCTGTCAGTGTACTTCCACCGTAGGCATGGAAGATTTAAGAACGTAAGAGCAGTCATGCTGGGTCAGACCAAATGTTCCAACAGTGGCCAATGCCAGGTGCCCCAGAGGGAACAGGTAACCACAAAGTGATCCATCCTGTGACTCATTTCCAGCTTTTGACAGAGGCTAGGGACACTATTCCGATTCATCCTGGCTAATATCCATTGATGGACCTAACCTCCATGAATTTATCTAGCTATTTTTTGAACCATGTTAATGTCTTGGCCTTCACAAAATCCTCTGGCAAGGAGTTCCATAGGTTGACTGACTGGAGTGAAAAAAGTCTTCCTCATATTTGTTTTAAACTTTCTGCCAAATACAGAAAGTGACCCCCTAGCTCTCGTGTTCCAAGTAAGGCTACAAATTTAGTGATAGACATTCTTGAAGCTATAGAATCCATGACTTCCAGCTGCCTCTATGTCTTCAGCCTGTAGAGTTCAGGAATTGCAGGGTTCCTCTCCACCCATGGGAGCAGATAACTATTGTACACCCCGCCACCTGTCAGTGCCCATCACTTCCAGCCGCTACAAACAGTGAGGATCCCTCTCCTCCCAGGCATCTGAAGATAGCAGAACTCCCAAGCTCCCAGGGACAGTGGAGTCCTGGTTGCCATGGACAACAGGGGCACCCCATAGCTCCCCGCTGCTGCAGGCATTTCTTATAGCCCCTGTGCAACCACTCCGCTTCAGGCAGCGCAAGGACACGCGGATCCCCATTTTCTCAGGGATATTTTTAATAAAAAGGACAGGTCCTGGCTTCCGTGAATTTTTCATTTTTGTGCAGGACAAAAAAAAAAAAAAATCTTATCCTTAGTTATGAGTAAACCACACTTCCTTCCTTGCTTTTTTACATCAGTCACAATCCCATAGACCTCTAACACATCCTGCCTTATTTGTTTTTTCCAAGCTAAAGTCAAGTCTTTTTAATCTGTCAGCCATTCCACCCCCTAATCACTGTCTTTTGCTGACCTTTCCCAATTCCAATAGACGATGATGCAACCACAACTGCACCCCGTATTCGAGATGGGGCGTACCATGGTTTTAGACAGAGGCAATATAATATTTTGTCTTATTCTCTATCCCTTTCCTAATGATTCCCAACATTGTTTGCTTTTTGGACTGCTGCTGCACAGCAAGTGGATTTTCCAGTTGACAACTGATAATCTGTTTCACTTTCTATTTAAACTGACAATGCCTCTCAGCCATGACTCCATGCTGGAGGGCCAGAGCCATAAAGGGATTCCTGTCTCATTCTCAAGCTAGGGCCAGGCTGTTCCAAATAATCCTTCATTTTATTTATATACATGGCAGCCTTTAACTCCCTACAGCCACAGCTGTGCACTGCACGGATATGTCCTAAAAAGCAAGGCTGAGCTATGTCTCTAGAGTCCTTCGCAGATACAAAATTTGTATCCGCATCTGTATCCACGAAAAGGGGCCGTCAATACAAGAGCTAGGCGGTACTTGTGGCAGCGCACATACTCATTCTAAAAGTGTGTCTACATAGCAAAGTTATTTCGGATTAATGGCTATTCCAAAAAAAAAAAAAAAACCCCACTATGAGTGTCTACACCACAACTCTGTTATTTTGAAATAACGGATGTGTTATTCCGACTTCTGTACACCTCATTCTACGAGGAATAACGCCTATTCCAATGTAAGGCGTGTGTAAGATGCTCCACTACTACTCTTTCGAAATAGCCCCTTACCAGGGCCATTCTAAGTTATTCCTCTTGGGGCTCTAAATCGAGAAAGCACGTCTACGTTAGGGAAACCGTCCGCGGACTAATTTTGAGGCTTCCCTGCAATATAAACATGCTATTTCAAAATAGCCTACTCCGAAGTAACTGTGCAGTGTAGTCGTAGCTTAAGTCAATGGGAGTTGATTAGGGCATAACATTTATAAACCCAGCAATCACCTTTGGAGACTCCACTGCTGCCCAGAACACTTCCCTCAATTTGCCCCTCTCTGATCCAGGAACACACCAGCCAACCACAGACAGTCCCATCTTGGGCTCAACCTGCATATTGCTGCTGCCTAGGCAGCCTGCCATGCCAGCTCCTAAGTCCCAAGGTAACTTGGACAAGAAGTCTCTCTGCTCACAGAAGTCTTGTTAGTGTAACAGCACTGGTGCAAGAGACAGGAATCAGGTCCACCACACGACCTATCCTCGGCAGTAAAACATAAGCAAGCATCCCGGCTACTGGCTAGACTAGTGTACCATGGAGGATGGGAGCATGTCCCAGCTAGTTCACTGCCTGCGTTCTATCCTACCTATGCATCTTCCCCTTCTGACCATATATTCCTTCCAAACACAACTCTGATTGGTAAGCACCAGCCCCATGGCACAGACACAGCTGAGCACTGATTGCAGTACTCCGGGTACCTTTCAGGCTCTCTTTATGGCAGAGTTGAGAATGCTCAACAAACTCACCACAATTATTTTTGCAGTAACCTGTAATATACATTTCAATATGTACCAAAAGTCACAATTTCCATGTGGCCCCTCGAAATCATGCTTAAAAGACTTTCAATTCCTAGGAGAAAATGGTACTGAAATGAACATACAGTAGCCAAAATCTCACATCCTGTTGGTATATACTTTTATTAAGAAAAAAACTGAATAAAATACATTCTTTCCATATGTACATTACATACAGCGGAATTCTACATTTGTCATGGTTCACAAGCTCACCCATTCATTTATTCACAGAGCAGTGCTTACGTATTTAACAACCCAGGAATCATAACATTGCCAAGGGGCAGAGAAGGGAAATTAAAAACAAAACAAGAAGTCTGAATAGCTACGGAAGTAGGGCAGGAAAATGTGATAGATGCAAATAGACAATCGGGTCAGTATCCCAGAGCATTCGTTATTAATGTGGTGTGCCCTAAGAGCGCAGTCAGTGCTGTATGAGTATTCAATGTAGACCTCTACCTGCTCATGAAAATGTCACAACAGCTCACAGAATGCATCTCTGCAGGACCATTGGGGATTCAAATGTTCTTCTGCAACTCTCAGCCTAGGTCTCCTACTGCAGGTGTTCAGTAAGGCAAATGATTAGTGAATATCCACCTAAAGAAACTCATATGGGCATAAGTATATTCAGAACTGAAATGCAACTATGCACCATATCAAACAGATGTGCCAATTCTTGACTAGAAGTTCATCTCAAAGCACCATATGGGGCAGTTTTTGGGGGTTTAACATGGGCAGCAGATAATGACTGAGGTGGATGCCAAAGGTTCAGATTATCACATGACATAGGGTGCAGAGAACAGGCAGAAGTTCGACTTCAAAGATGACAACAGCGAAACATACATTCTCTTTATGAGAAGGTGCAACTCCCATTTGCATTTATGGGTGTTCTCCAATGTAAGGGTCAATCACCGATCCAGATTGGCCTGACCACAAATCAATTCCTCAGGTGCACAACAACAGCTAATAACCCAGGCTGTTAGGTGGAGGATAGTGGTGCTGTGCCCAAATGATATAGGAGAAAGTCTGTTGTGAGCATCATTAATATCTCTGCAATCACTGTCCAAGGTACTGTAAATATTGAGGACTTGGTACATCTCTATCCTATAGCTGTTGAGTGTGTGGCACTTCTCATGGCACCCACTGAAACCATCACAGCTTAGTCCAAGCAGTCAGTGCGCCTAGAGATACAAAGCTTGCGCTAGGTGTTTTAAGAAAGGAGGGAACACGCGAGACCTGAAGCTCAGCCATACCACCAAGCTGGCGTGTGTAGAAGTTACTGGGATGCAATCTCACGATATCCTACAATTAGAGGGTCTGACAATAGACAATGCCCAGCCATCAGGCCATTGATTTCAAGCCAGATTCTGCAAACAGTGCACAGAACTCTTGGCAGCATCACCCTGGAATTATTTGCAAGATTAAGTCCTACCCCCAGAGCACAGGGTTGTAGCTACCCAGAGAATGCCATGGGAGGTAAGCAATGTCCTTGCTCTCACCCCAAGGCATGAACCTTCCACAGATGGGGACTAGATGGAAGACATTAAGCTTTCAATGCTATTTTCCCTTCATAAATATCCTGACAACCAAAAGAACCATCAAGTATAGCTATAGGATGGAAAGTGACTATTAAAAACAGCTTCCTACTCAATGAAGCATGGGGAAGCAGCGTTAGGTCTTATATGTAGAGCCTGACCAAAGCAAATGAATGATGTCTGTTTGCCCCTGGCAGCAGAGTCAACACTGCTATGGAAGAGCAAGCTGGCTACGCTCCAACCTCATGCAGCAGCAAAGCTCCCAGCAGAACAGAGATCAGAGAGAGAACTCCCAGTGTTTAGAGCCCAGAAACTCTGCAGGGGGAAGCCATTCTTTCCCACTTGTAAATTGAGCAGTGCATGAGCACTGAAGACACTTTAAAAAGAAATCATTTCTCTCTTAGAAGAGCCTTTCCCCAAAGATTTTGACGATCACCTTCTCCGCTAGGACAAGGTACTCTATGAAAAAGGCAGCTTTGGCATCCCGCAGCGGCTCGCTGTTTGAAGGAAGTCTGCATCAATTGATCCAATACCTTGGATATTGATGCATTAGGGCCACGTTTCTCAAACTGTGGGTGCTGACCCCGGGGGGGGGCGCGAGCAACTTAGAGGGGGGTCGCAGTATCACAGTTTGAGAACCCCTGCACTAGGGAGTTCTCTTAAATGAATTTTCAAAATCAACCTTGAGAAATATCTGCAGTTTAGTATCAATGAAGCTTGGAATGGTGTAGTTTGTCAGCAGGAGCTGACGTTTTGGTATAGCCCTCTTCTATTTTCAGTTCATAGTAGTTCACCTAAGTTAACCCACTTTTTTTATTATGATCTAAACAGAAGTCACCTTACAACGGCTTCCTGTTGAAACTCCTACTTCCAGCTGGGAAGTATTTTCTACATCTGTCTTCACCTTTCACAATGGCCACTTACTTGATGATTATTCTGCATTATAGCTGATGTGTCCTAACATGTTCTAAACAGATTTGCTGCTCTGTGCAGCTGAGCACAGCAAGCGGAAAAGCGTTGTCTAATATTATACATCAATTTAATGCTCTCGTGTGGAGAAGAGAGGCAGCAAAGCTCACCTGAAAGTGCAGCCCTGACATTTGGAAGATGCTGCTCTTGCACTTTTCATTCTAAAGGAGCCAGTTGGATAATCTGTACGGACTCTGAATAATGGAAGGCCATACTCCTCCCTAGTGGTGTGAATTTACGCATTGCAGGTGGAAAGGGAGGGCTTTATTACTGGTTGGGGCTGTTAGGACCCCATCACAATGTTGGGTGTTTGGAGGGCTGTGCGTAGCCAGCTCTCTCCAGCTGAAATGGTACCTTGGCAGAACAGAAGGCAGTTGCTGGGGGAATCAGAGTGCATGATTTCCTGTCCTTTGTCCTTGGGCCATCAGGTCTTTGAGAGCGTGGCTGAGGCCTGGATAAATCGATGCCAACTTCTTTGCAGTTATGGTATGAATGATACTGAGGAGCTCTGGAGAGAAGTGGTCACAAGGGTGACCTGGCAGAAGGAAGGGAATTTAAATGATCCACTATCCAGAACATCAGCACCAGAAAACTAGGTGTGCCCTGGCACTTGGCTAGAAAAGAATAACCACAATGGAAAAGAACATGCTAGAGAGCAAGGAACTGGGGAGAGGGCCAGGATGGCCAACCACTGTCCATGGAAAAAGTGAGAAACACTAGCCGCAATGTTTTCCTTTTGAAGTTACTTTCTTCCCACAGTGGTCATTTTGTCAAGCAGTTTCTCTAGGCCTGTGTCCACCTGGTTAATTATGTTAGCAACGTTTAGCTTCAGTGTGGTAATTAAACTCAAACATCCCCCAGCCCCCATAGTTCAACTCCCAGTCAATGGAATGCCAGTAGGATTGTTACAAGAGATGCAGGACTGTTTCCTCATCTTGCTATCCCCCTCTGACATGCCAAAGCCGGAGATGGAAGTTCGCCCTCTGATGCAATAGGTAAGGGCACTGACAACCCAGAGAAGGAAGGCGCCCATAAGAAGTGCATTAACTTCAGAAAGAGCCCTGAGCTTGGGTTGCTGCAGGTAAAGAGTTGGCCCACATGTGGAAACTGGGCCATATTAGCAGTTTAGGACTTAAATGTGCAATGGGCTTTGAACTAACCCTCCCATTAAATTCAGGCACAACAGAGGCAGCAGAAATAAAATGTCCCTGCATACTATTTTCACTATTGGGAGGACATAGCCATGTGCTGGAGACCTAGGGGTGTAACTCCAGGCATATGTGGGTAACCCAGTTCACAACTCCATTTGATCCTTTGCCCCTTTGCTGAGAATGCCAACATAGACAATCCGAACCAAAGAGCAAAAATCTTACATAAAAGATCTGACAACCACTTACAGATGTTAAAAAGCTGTTAATTATGTAACTCTGTAACTGCTGAAAAATCTTAGTGGCTGCACACTGTAGGTTCTGCAGTATAAAGCTTATACTGCAAAGCCCTCAGTGCAGCCAGCTCCCCAGAATCAGGGCCGGCAGCCGGCGCACGCTGGGAACCGGCTCCTGACCCAACTCCTGGAGAGCCAGCTGCGCTGCAGGCGCTATAATATAAGCTTCCTATTGCAGAGCCCACAGCATGAGGTGGCAGCTGGTGCATACTGGAAGCTGGCTTTTAAGCCAGCTCCAACATCTGGGCCCACTCTCAGGGAACCAGCTGCCACCCCACACTGCTGCCCCTCTGCATGACCCCGGTTAACTAGTTAACTGGTTAAATGTTGTTTAACCAGTTAAACAAACAAAGAGGATTTTACATCCTTGAAGGGAACCCTCTTCTGTTAAGGGCATATCTACCTGAGAAAGCTGACTGGAATCAACCCCCACATGGCTGCTGTTCCGAAATAAAAATAGATTCATTCCATAATAATTAGTGCACTCAAAAGCAGAGTAGTTTTCTGGAACAGAGCAGCCACATGGGAAGCTACACTGCTAAAAAACCTCGTCTGCTTGAATTTCCCCAGGCTGACACGTCTTAAGACACCTCTCTGAGGAGGACTCATGTTTTAACCTCTGCCTTTCAAAAAACCGAGTGGCACAACTAAAAATACACACGTTAACATGCTGGAGAAACAGCTGAAAGTGTATAGCAAGGTACTATCCCCGGTGGTTTCTGACCCGTGTCAATGGGACAACATTTATTTTCAAAGTTTAGCAAAGTGACATCCATCAGTATGTTTAGATTGTGCAGATTAACAAACAAACATTATTGAAAGAGAAAAGAAAGAAATCTGTTTCCTGAACACTTAAGTTCACCAAAGTGGCAAAATAACTACCCCTCAAGCCAAGAGCTCATTTTAAAAGGCCAGAAACTGGGAAGCAAACAGGTGTCACATGCAGTATTGATTCCTCATGCGTCATTATTATTATGTGAGCAAAGCAGAGCTTGCAGCTAGCAAAACCAATTTTACCAACCAAAACAATCCTGTATTTCCAGTGTATCTACAAATTCCTCATTTACCAATTCATTTCACTAGTACTAGTTAAGTAAGGGTAGCAATTAAAGGAATACCATAAAGCTGATGTCCTCATGCTGCACCCAGTATAAAGCTGTACTCATTACAGTACTTCTAATATCATATTCACATAAATAAATGAACCACATCCTGTGGCTTTCAGAGGAAAGTGTTAGCCACCCATAACTCACTGCACCAACTACGCAAAACTGAAAAGTACTTAAAATGACGAAGACTCGGGATTTGGAGGTGGGCACTTTATGGTAAATTGGTATTCTATTATTCGTTATCCTCCTGCTAATACAGACCAGACTCTGAAACAAGCAGAACTTTTTGTTAAGCTGACACAAGAGTGGCTAGATCTTTTTCTGGATACATTCTGAGTTAGTTGCAACTAGTCTACATGCACATTAAAATCATCCCATAGCCAAAAGTTAGGGCTAGTCTACGCTACTGTGCTACCCTGACAGTCACACCGCTGTGAAGATGCACTATGCTGGCACAGTGCAGTGTGGATGCCACTTTCAATACAACTTGCATTGCTTAGGAAGGTGTCTTTTTGCAGACACTCGAGTGACAGAATTTACATCCACTGAAGTGGTAATGTAGACAAGCCCTTAGTTGCTTATTCATGCCTTTCCCCTCTACTACTACACCAGTGTTGAGTCTGACAGCGTTCCCTCTTTTCACACCAGTTATCAAGATTCCAGAACAGGCTTTTGAAGAACTTATCAAATCTTTTGAAGACCAGATGCAATTACATCCTCCAGGTCTCCTTTATCCACTATTTTAAACTCCATGCCACCGAGCAAGCAACCCTTTTTCCTTAATTCAACCCCACTCCACCCTGTCTCAATCTCCCCGCTCCCCCAATACACACAGCTGCATCTTGCTTCTGCTTCTCAAACCACAGATATCTTTGGAGATCACCAGGGCTCAAACTGACAGGAGGAATTTGCTGTAGAGCCCTATCAGGAATTCCCATCTCCCACCACCATATAGTAGAGAACCCCATCTCTTTTCCAGGGCATCTCTCATGGCTTCACACAGCACTTCCCCATTGCCAATAGACGCTTTTTTGATGCGAAGAACAAGGCAACAATACAGGAGCTGGGATTTTATTTCAAAATGTGCAAGTAAAGAGTCACTGAATAATTCGAGTTTTAAATTCCTTACTTATATTATTAAATTTACCTCCAAATACTCAAGGAATTTTAGCTACCTATTTTCCTTTCATTTATCCCAACTTTTCCCACTACACTCTACTCCACAGACAATAAAATTGGACTTGGCCATTGAGTATGCACTTTCACATATTAATTCGCCAATTTACTTTCTGGTTTTCCTGCATTAATGCTACGGGTGTTTAGTTTGCCACATTGATCAGGTAGTCGGGAGAAATTCAACCAAAAATAACTTTTCATTTTAACTCCATCTAAACTATATTAGGATTTGCACATTTCTCACTACAAATGTACAAATCCTAATATAATTTAGATGCAGAAACTTTTGACTCTGCATCTTTAAATTACTGTAGTCTGCTCAGGTTATGCATGCAATTTATTCTTTTACACCAAGTCACCTGCTCTTAATGTCCTTTGCCAATACCTACACCCAATTCTTTGATTGTACTAAAAGATATAGCATTTCTCAACACTGCAAAATGCTACGTGCCCAATCTCCAAGGATATACTATATTCCTGTGCTAGATAATTTCACAATTGTGCTGATAGGAGTGCGCTCTCCTGTCAGTTTACTCCAGAACCTGCAAGTGGTGGTGGTAGCTCTCCAGTTGACATGATGCTGTCCACACCACCACAACGGTGGTCCCGGGGGAGAGGGAGAGAGATGATGGGAGGTCTCATTCATCCTCCTGAGTGACATAACTTCTACCAACTTAAACTATATAGCGTTCATAGCTTTTGTGTAGTCACCACTGAGTGGAGATTAGTGGTGCTTATTCTGTAATGCTTTTTCTGTGTGATACTCTAACAAGCTGATAGCAAGCTATAGCAAATTTATGACTTTTTATACTCTCCATCTCACAAGAGATATAACGACTGCAGGAAAAGATGTGAAGTCAGACATGCAACCTATTACACTGTAGATCAGATTCATTCATGAGCAATTGAAGATTTCCCGATTTTTTTGTTCATAGAAGAAACAGGTGAAAAAATAAAACTCAGTATACCAAGTCTGTTTCCTCCAGCAACTGGTTTTATAACATACATTTCCATACATAGGATGACAGATCTTTTTAGGTTCTGGGAAGAAGAAAGAATTAGCTATGAACATAAGAGATGATACTACCTCCCATCCAGAAATAATGGATTATTTATTGCAATTCATTCTTGGGAAGAGAGTTATGCAAGTGTAAAGATTAATTATATTCTGCTCAGCAGTTTTCACCTTACTGATGTCTCTGGCAAGAAAGATGGGTTTCCTCAGGGAAAAGAATGCCTACATTGGACGCCATTTCTGTGTCTCAGTCAAAACTATTCTTGAAGAAAAATCAGTGCAGGGGCTTTTCTGAAGTACACCATCAAGGCTGATCAAGCTAAAATCTGATACCCAAGGTCTGTTGGCAAACCCTTTGTGACTATCTACCCACACTGATGTTTCAAAATAAATGCTTCAACATGGCTTTGAAAACCATTCCATAGACAATACCTGAGACCTTACTCATAAATCAACCTGAAATTTATGCGCACACAAAATCACAGGCAACCTAACATACTATAGGCCATCCTTGCTATAAGTCCAAGATCCTTGCAAACAACTTGGACGGATAGCGAAACAACTTAAAGCAGGGAATTTTTTCCCCCCCATGGCTGACTTCCATTCGCGCAAATTGTTTTGTTGGGTTTTCTTGCAGGACTTCAGAGCAGTGAATTGGAGAACTTATAATGAATGCATCAATTCCTACACGCATCAATGACTTCAGTGTGGAACGGATGTATACCGGAGTGACTTACAGTGGGAACGCCCTGTAGTATTTAAATTTCTACTGTTCTCAGCTAAACACTACATATAAGGGGTACTGTGCATGGGAGCAAAGGGCAGAATAAGCTCCTCTTCTGATTACAAGCAATGACCACCCTTCACTATGATAGCAAGAAAAAAGGGTTTGGATTATGACAAATTATACCTCAAAACTGTCTCAGGGTCAGGATAGACAAGAAAAGTAGCTAGTTTAAACAATTATCATCCTGCAGACAAATGTGTTATCACTGTCACAACTGAGACCTCCCACTACAGATAACAGTCTAATGGAATATTGGTCAATTTGATTTCTTTAAAAAAAAATTAAGCAAAAAACCTTCCTTTTGTCCCACTTTACATACGATGCTGTTACCTAATATACTATTTTTGAAAGAATCCAAAAGATACACGTTTATTTAAAACACACGATACATATGGACATGTATGGATTTCTGCTCTCTGATCCACTGGCAAGTGGTGTGCTAGGTATTGTTTTCACTCCCACAAGTTCACGACCCACGTCTAAGGCAATAAACCAACGTTGGATTCCGTTCTGTCAATCTGCAGTAGGCAAAGGGCCTTGTTTTTTGAGGAAGACTTGTACACAGCTTTTCAGGAACATTTACTTAGGGGAATACATAGAACAGCCTTGATGTAAATAAAAACTTATCTACTGAACACGGTCCCAAAGAAAACCATCCTGAAGACCAACAACAGTAAAGACATTAGCTCTGCTAGAAGCACTGGATATAGCAGACATTTAAATGATCACTTCTGATTCTTCAAATTGTTGGTACAAAGCTTTTTCTCCCCCCATATAAATCCCTACAAATAAACCAGTTGTGTGTGAAAACAGTCTTGGTTTTACTGACTTCAGTTGGTAGAAAATGTTCACTAAAGCTAAAGGGACAATGTTTATTTTAGAATATCCAATTTAAATTTCCATGTAATGAAATGTCCTAGAGTTGCAGTGTGGATAACATGTGGCAATACATTTATAAAGTAAAGATCATGTAAACTACATATTATTTCATGTGCTCCACGCCAGGACGGAGGCTCGATGTTAAAGTGTTTTGAGGCACTATGTAATAAGCAGGATCGCATATGAAGATAGCGCTGAATAAAGCACGTGTTTATATTTATGTGGTTATCCAGTGAGTGTACTATACAACACGTCTTCCAAAATGACATTTCTAAAAAAACCTGATCTCTTCTGTTTGGACATCTCTATTTTCATAATGCTTGGAGCTAGTTAGTTCCTGGAATGATGCTCACACGCATAATACAATCCAAACATCTAATATCACAACAGTACTTTAACAGGCTATTACAGAAATTTCTGTACATTCTCAGGAAACTGAGCAGTAAGTTTTTTGTACTATTTGTATCCGCTATACAAGAGATGCAGTATATACTATGACAAAGCACCAATCATTTAATTATGATTACTAACCTTAAAAAGGGCAAGGAAGTAGTGGATACCTTGCAGCAAATCCATAGGAAACACTTCAGGTAAACCTATCTGGCCACAGGGTGCCTCGATTGCTCCATAAATATACAGCTGCAAATGCATGTGTGTCAAGTTGTACATCAAACAGTCCTTTAAAAGGACAGGAGCCGTGGAAATGGCAGCTAGTTAATCACCAGCTAGAAGCAATAAAATGCACACAATGGTATGTGTATGGAGGGAGAGAATTAGTAAACCTTGTCTGTGTATGTAACAGATGTGCATCAATATTTGATATTCAAGTACTTCCATTATCTTAGGTTAAGAGACCGGATCATCAGTCACTGTGGATGAAGCACTAAGCTAGAAAATTTAACTTTCTGTACTTACAGGCATCTACAACCTCCCACCTGCCCCTAAGAGAATAGGCTTAAGCCCATGAGATTTTTACCTGGGACAGTTTTCAGTAAAATCACACACATCCTAGCTAATTGTGTTTGAAAGTCTCCCATCAAATCACACAGAGATCATGCCTTACTTTAATGAAGTGAATATGTATTCACTTAATCACAGCTTGATTTGCAAGATATGCTTCTCAATGAGGTTACCATCTTGATATATTTGTTCTTTTTATTAAATGTTTTACTAAATCTACACTCTTGGCTACTATGTAATAACTGGTTTCACTTTGGTTCAACTTTATTTAAATAAAGTTAAAAGGTAACATACTAAAAAACACCACCAGTCAGAGATGAAAATTAGAAGAGCAAATGCTTGGGACAAACTGATTAGAAAGGCTTTTTTGGGGAAAAAGAAAGGGAATGAAAAAAAAAGCATTACCTGTTTGAAGTTGTGAGCAAGTTTGTTTCTGTGAACACAAGGCATAATCACACTACTATGATAAATAGCACACAATTGTAAACCTTGGGATTTGAGGACTGCAAAATGTCATTTAGTTACAGGACAGCAATGCTATGGCACAATGCTAATGACTGTAATTTTATCTCTAGATTAGCAAAACTAATCAGCAAAGTTCTAATCCATATGGTTTAACACACCTTTATCTAGCAAAAACCAGAAGGTTACAACATGCAGTAAAAAACTGTGGCACGGCACTTTTTCATGTCACTGGGAAAACTTTGACATTGTATTTGCTCAACTGTGCATTCCATTGATTTTCTGATTTATCAGTTACTTGCCAAACAGTAAATTAGCGATAACTTAAAAAAGCTATATCTATAATCTTCTCAAGAAAAAAAATGTCCAGTCTAATAACTTTTTAAAGCAAATCCAGCCTCTAATGTACTGTTAATTTCTGTTAAGTTTAACAGCTTAAGTGAAATATTACAATTTTTTCTTCATCATTTCTGATGTACTGGAGCTGGGAGGAAGGGGGCTAATTGAATGAAAGCACAAGGATACTAGAACTATGAAAAAATATTCTTCATTGTCATTTCTTTTCATTTAAAAAGTCCAATCCATCCTTGCATATACACTGAACTTACTGGAAGTATTGTAAGTTATTCAGCCACAGGAAATCAGGACTCCTGTCCAATGGGCTCTTGGCCCTCTAGACATGAATCTCTATAGTCTTTATATAATTTATCAACCAGTTTGAACTGCATGCTTTCTGGCACTGAATATATGCTAACATGAGGTGCACGTGTCCATTATACTTTATGGACACAGTGCAGCGCCCAACTTTTAGGCCTACATACAAAAAACATTTTCTGCAAAGGTGAAAATAAAGTCCATTTTCTGGACATACACATTCAGCTTACTTTAATAGATCCAAACTTTAAATGAGGGGAGAGGCCTTTGTGCACAGAATTCTAAGCTGCACTTAAATGAGCTGCGCTACATAGGACAAGGATGAAAAACAAGCTGTTGAAAACAATCTTCATTAAATTTCACATTCGTGCACAAATACACACACAGAGCCAACAGGTATGTAAACCCAGATGTGCTGCTTTGGAAAAACTGCATCCAGGCTGAAGTGCTGTAGAAGTGCAGAGTGGGCATGGGGGATGTGGAAGACCCAATTCTGTAGAAATCTACAAAGATTTGCAAAGTTTGTTATGAAACCAGCACAGGATAGGCACAGACATAAAACCATCCCCGAAGAAATGCTTGTACCAGCACCGTCTGCACTTATTTTCAAAGGGTTTTCTGAGGTTCAAACTTGACTACTAGCTTTAAGTAGAAGGCTTCAGAGAATGGAAGCCAGGCATTTACAGTAGCACCATCTAAATATTTATGTTCACACTCTGCAGCAAATCCAGTTACACACTAGTGTTAGTCAGTTTCTCAACACTAAAAGAGGGTGGCAAATTTGAGAGATCCTCCTTCACACTGTACATTACAGTTACAAGACTCAAGTCAATAAAGACACACATTACCTTAACGTACAGCAAAGTCCTGCTGACGAGTTACACAACTGCTGTGAATAAAGCCAGCAGGGCAAAACAAACGTCATGACTAGTTACAATAAAGCAAGGGGCATTAAAAAAAAAAGTAAAGCCATCTTCAGTTTCAAAGAGCCTGAAAAATCTCAGCATTTCCCTGAAAAGCAGAAAGGATGACTGCATGATTGATTATTTCTTCTTACATTAGCTGTTAAGTCAAAAATCAGAAAATATATGTGTGTGTGTGTATATATATGTATGTCAGTTACATTTTATTGCCTAATTCAACAAGGGGGAAAACCTCAGGTATTCTTTACACAAGTATAAAGCCCCTTTCAAAGACCCAGGGATCACTCACTATATTACTGCACACAGCAGTCAATCAATGCAGTAAAAAAAAAAAAAAAAAAAAAAATTTAAATGCTGAAAATGGATGCTTCCCCCCACCCCGCTTCCACAAGTCCCGAGATTTTTCCGTCACAGTGTGATGAGGTCTACCAAGTTGCCTTTTGGAGGAGTCATGTTGTCAGGAAAGAAATTTACTAATGTATCAAAGAGCTGAGTTCTTTGCGCGTAGGTATGGTCAACATCTGAAAATCCTAGGAGAGGCAGAAAGACAGGAAGGAAGAAGTCAAATTTAAAACATGAAATACATTAAGCAATGTAATGTGCCATGTTGATACCTTTTGAAGGAATAAAGAATAGCTCCTATTCTCTCTTCACCCCCTTTTCTGAAATACACATCACTGCACTGGCTTTCCCAGAAGTTTTTCCCAACATTGCTTCACACATCATTACTGGCTGTCCAAGTTGTTTTTTCAGGCCTAGTATCCAGAGCCACCAATCTTTGTCCCATGCTCAAGCCTACATCAGCCAATGGCAATGGATTTATACATACACTGTAATTTCTTCTTTGATTTCTAAGAATCAAGTCACTGGTATCCCAAAGAGATCATGTTTCAATCACTTATTTTTACTACAGGTTGAACCTCTCTAATCCAGCACTCTCTGGCCCAGCAACATACTGAGTCTGGCATGATTTTATTATGCTGGATGTCCGTTTATCAAAGGTATGGCCATGTTTCCAGCGGTCCTATTCAGTTTGTTTACAGTCATCAGTCCTGGGTCTCAGTGTTCTGTGCCGTTATTTAGCTCTTCTTTACTCCTAAATGTCTTCTAAGAGCCCAGTAAGCAGTGGATGTGTTGGCAATGATGCTACACAATATGGACCTCCCATGGTTTGGCAAATTCTCTAGTTTAACACTGGTCTGGTCTCAAGGGTGCTGGACTACAGAAGTTCAACTCATACATGAATTCAAACTTGTCGCATTGACGAAAACAAGGAGAATTTACCTTTAAAAGTACATGCCACAAAAAGAAAGGCCCAACATTCACATTGCTACAATATGGATATTAATCTTAACAGGACTAGTAAAAGAAAAATACTTGTGTATTTCCTTAATCATGTAATGAAAAATATTGGAATACCATGTTATCCAATTAAAAAGTAGGAGAGTTTAGATGATTGCTAAAGTTATAAACTTTTTGAAGCTGAAACATTTTATACTAGAATATTTACCAGGTGTTGATAGAGGCCTTAATTTACTTTTTGGGAAATAAAATGAAAGTGTACGTACTTCATTTGACTCTCTGCTTTGTGGTGAGGTTAGAAATAAGGGATTCAGGAGGACTAACCCAGCCCTCTCTCATCCCAGCAGCTTGGGGCCAGGTAAGAAATGCCTCTCACCCAGCAGGCAAAGCCAGGGAAAGGGTGCATATTCCCCAGTTGGGGCAGGTCTAGGTTTGTTGACTCCCCTGTGCTCCCAAGCATGAGTGAGAAAGGCAGTGAACTGTGCACTTTCCCCTTGCTTCTTGACACAGGGAAACGGCCAGTAATGTCCCTGTACAAATGGGAGGGAGGGTGGAAGAGGGGTGGGAGGCTCTATCCCCAGCCAACCCCTTTCACCAGCCTGGTGATTGTCTGTTTTCGGTATGGTTTTAGGACAGCCATCCCATTCCAGGGACATCCCATTTACCTGGCACAACAAAACTCTTATGTTGTTTTAAATTATGATGAGAGGAAGCTGTATACCGAATTTGGTGGTCCTAGCTCTTACCTTTTAGGAGGAGGAGTTCCTGAATAGATAAAAACTCTCTCAAATACGTAGCAGACGAACAAAGCAAAATCAAAAAAGGGAAAAATTCTCCTAAAATATAATCTGAATATTTAGTTTTAACTCTTTATGGGAAATAAACTGGCTCATACACAGTGAGAATGTCACAATAGATCATTCCTTGACACCACTATTCAGTTAATTGAATAGTCTATTAACCTCATGAATTCTTATCGGTTACAGGACTATTCTATAGTCCCTGGAGGTCAGGCCGGCAGCAGTGCACTACCGAAGAGCCCCTGCCACCCTGCGCTTCTGCCTCTGTATCAGAGGCAGCAGTGTGGGATGCCAGGTGGGAGGTGGTGAGCCAGTTTAAAAAACAGCTCCCCTCTCAGACCGGCTGCTTGCAGCCTCTGATACAGAGGCAGCAGCACGGGGTGGCAACAGCCCCTGTCTGGGGGAGAGGGGGGGAGAGGGAAGGAGGGAGGAGGAGAGCTGAACTGAGCTCCTGGACCCAGCACAAGCCAGAAGTGAGCCTGGCTGCCTATCCGCCTGGCTCCTAATACATTTTAAATCCAGAGCCACAGCAAGGGTAGGTCCAGGACCCAGTGCGAGCCAGGTCTGAGCCAGGCTGCTGGCCAGCCTGCAAAAAAAATTTCTGGTACGGGCAAAGGGAAGATACGTGTAGTCTATAGCATTAACCTATACGTTTTTGCTTATTGATTAATCAACTACATTATTACATCCCTACTATGATAGAGGATAATTCACCTGGTTACATTAGAACATTGAAATAAAAAATTCTCTGGCATATCAAGATGACTATTTAAAAACTCATCTTAGAAAAGAGTAGTTCTGTTGATAATACTTCAACAAAATCAGAATAACCTCTTCATCTATTAGAACCAACTCTGAAATCTCTTTTTTTCTACTCCATTCTTGAGGCTGTAAATTGCCAATTCGGGTAATACCGAAATTATCAATGCTTACATTGTATGAATTCAGAAACTGGCAGCATAAAGCTACAAAAATGAAAGTTTCTCTGATGTCACTCTCCATAGATATTATCATTCTAATAACTATGCAATTTGTTGCTGTTGGATATCAGGGGGAACCAATTATGTTTTTGGATTTCTTGCTTTTGTAAGTTTACACATTTGTTACCTTTGTTTTTGACATGCTGTCCAAAGAGCCGGTTTTGCCAAGAACAAACAACTGAATTGATCTAGGGAAAGCATGGTATTTTCACAGCAAACAGAAAATCTGGAACCATGCTGCTGGATTCCCAAGTGGTGTGACAAGTTTCTTTCTTTTGACCAAGGCTTCTGTTTATTTGGGTAATGGCACAGCACAGTGGGTATCAAGAGCTACAAAATGATTCACTAAGACCTGAACTTGAAACCACTGAGAACTGCTTTTTTAAAAATGGGTGTGAGGCACTAAACACCGCTGAATAGAAACGTTCCTTCTCAAATATCTGATAGGAGAAAAGATGAACAAAGTAATTTTTTTTATTGATCCTTTAGTATTTGAAGAAGAGCGCTGGGTAAACTTGAAAGCTTCTCTCAAACAAAAGTTGGTCCAATAAAATATATTACTTCACTCACCTTGTTGCTCTAGTATCCTGGGACTAACATGGCTACAACAGAGCATAAAGGCACTTAACATTCAGACTGTAAAAGGGCTAATACATTTATGGCCTACACATGTTTCACCACAACAGCAATGGAAGAAATCTTACCACAGTAATAAACCTGGCTACACAGGTTTTAGAATACTTCATCTCTAGTTTACTATAATACTCACCCAGAGTGGGGAAATCTGAACCAGACTTGAACAGTGCTGAAGCAAGAAGCTGAAACTGTGGAAAAAGCCAAGAGCCAAACAAATTATCCAGATGCTCACATAAGAAATACAAGCTTCTTAAAATATCTAATGACATTAAAGCTTGCCCATGCTGTGTTTACCTAGCACAATGTTCATTCAGGTGTATGTTGCAGTGGGTGTTGTCAGAGGCTAGCAGTGTCATACAGGAAAATATAATGCAGTCACAAAATCCTATAACACTATATCAATCTCTTTTTCCCCTTCAGTTTTTAGTTAATTCACTGTATCATGAATGTTCTGAAAGGCAATCAACAGCGCACTAGAGCTTAAAATTGTACTTATACAAAGAGGAGACATCATCAAGGTAAAACAAGCATCTTCCAAACTACTCTTCCAGAATAGTGATAGAAATGTAGCCGTGTTAGTCTGGGGTAGTTGAAGCAAAATGCAGGACAATGTAGCACTTTAAAGACTAACAAGATGGTTTATTAGATGATGAGCTTTCGTGGGCCAGACCCACTTCCTCAGATCAAATAGTGGAAGAAAGTAGTCACAACCATATCCAGATGATTTCTGTCTTAGAATAGCCATCTATTAAGTATGAGTTCTCACTATGATATTGTCTCAGCCAGTGCTGTTTTTGTGATGGTACTGCCCAGTACACAGTACCAGCACCTCCAGTCAGAGCTTACCTGAAAAGAACAGAGAGTACCAGCACCTCTATAATGAAAATGGCTGACAGTCGGCTGGGTCTTAAAGAGTACTGGCAATTTTTTTTTTTAAACAAAAAAGCACTGGTCTCAGCTGGGCAATCAAGGATTGAATTGGCATGGAGATAATGAAGGCCTTGTTTACATCAAACAGAAGATCACTGCTGCCATGCTCAATCTTCCAGAGTTCAATTTAGTAGATCGAGTGAAGACTCGCTAAATCAAACTCAGAGGGTGCCCCTGCTGGCATCCGATACTCTTGCCTTTGTGAGGAGTAAGGGAAGTTTATTCCCATCAGCCTCCCACTGTGGGGACATTGCCAAGCTGGGCTTAAGGTAAGCCAACTCCAGTAACGTATTCCACATACCTGAGTTGCATACCTTAAGCCGAGCTGCCAGGTCTACTGTAGACTTGGCCTATGGATGCCAATTAGCACTGAACGAGATTGCTTTTTGCGATGTGCAGAAGGAACTGGACTAAGACCACCTACTTTTGTTCCCAGGCCAAGCAACCTTCAAAGAGTTAAGAACATCAGATCACACTAGCCTGGACCTGATCATCCATACCCCAGTGAAAACCCCCTTTCATTCAGTCCCATAATTTTTGGTCTTTTCATTAACTGATGCTCAGGCTGGGAGCGTGAGACTCAAGATCAAGAATGTGCTCAGAATATCCTCAGTGTAGTACTATCCATCCTTAATGTCTATACCCTTCAGCTATTGGTACTCAGCTACAAATAGCAAGCCCCACTTCACCATGTTATAGTCACCAATTAGAGCCACACAAACAAACTAGGTCATTAATATTTTCATCAAGATTTAGTCAGTCCCTTAAGGCCCTTAATTATTCCTACAGACTTCTCTTCCTGTTTGTGTGAACCCTTCCGGTACTGTGATCTGCAGATGCCAAAGGAAGGAATGTAGAGAAAACAGAACTAAATCAATCATTAATCTTAGTGTGCTTGCAGTGCTAAAGATGACCTTCATTGCCACTGCAAACAGCTATTTATGGAAGAGTGATGCTGGCTCTGATTCACCATGGTACTTATTTATCATCTGTGTTATCTTAGGGCACAGGAGCCACAGTCATGAGCACCACCAACTCACTTGCACCAGGCTTTGCACAAACAGAACACAGAGACAGTCTTGTTCCAAATAACTTGCAGAGTAAGTAGAAGGCCAGACTAAACAGACAGACAGAGGAATAAGGAAACAGTGAGACAAACTGGTCAGTACGATAGGCTGTGGTCTCAGTCCACCAGCAGCCTAGCCATTGTCAAATTTTTTTGCAGGCATCGTGCCTAAGGCGAGTTTCAAGAGGGATCTGAAGGAGAACAATAAAGTGACTTTGGAAATGTTTACGGGGAACTCTTCCCAAGCTGGAAGAGACCAGCTTTACCCCCACAGCTCTGGAATGAAGGAAGCATGCTCAATTCATCTGCAGAGACAGCTCATGAGCAGTCCAGGCATAATTAAGAGCCATAAAAGGCCTAAACAAGCTCAGTGTGGATGGGCTGCTCTTAGATTTTTTAACAGCTACCACCTGAAAAAAGAACTGCGTCTAGACTGTGGTTTCACTTTCGAAATACCCTTTCTCAAAATGGCGAATGGATATGAATATGCAAATGAAGCACGGGCTATTTAAATGTGCTTCACTTGCACTTTCGATCTGCCTAATTTACATCCCTCTTTCGAAAGAGGGATGTAATCTAGACATAGCCCAGATGTCTCTACTCAGTCCTGTTTATACACAGCTCCATCTACCGCACAGCATAAAACATTTCCTTCTTTAGCTCCCTCTACATCGAGTGAGACTGATTCTCCTCATTTATATTGTTACCTTGAACCTATTTATAGAGTGATCACAAGTCCACAATCAAATTCACTTGCCAATGTTAACAAAGTTTCACTCTCAATTTCAAACTACAGAATTATTTTACTCTCTATTCCTTAGATAGGTTGGTTTAAATGCTGCTGATAAACAGTAACTTTCCAGGTCCGGTCACATTAAAGCTCAAGAAATTACTGCCTCGGGAGTTTAACGCATGTGAAAGTTAGCATGTCACCTGTTAACCACATTGGGTTTTTTCCTCACAGCAGCACTAGACTGGGAGCTTATATTTAGCTTTTAATTTTATCATCCATAGGTTTGAATCACTCCTTTTCAGACAGCTGTCCCCAAATTCGTGTTATTTATATCAAAGAGGAAAAATAGATGTGCCTAAGTTTTTTTAATCAGCACTAGCAAATTCTAGCATCATGCCTTTCATCTCATTTACCAGGTGGTCACACCACAGAATAATCAATAGCTTTCCATTTGTCCTGGACACCAGGTAGTCACCTTCTGTAGGAGCACACCACCAAAACAGTCTGGTGTCCAAGTCAGTAAGATAGAGACCCATTTTTATCTGAGAAGCTACTGAATTGCCTGGAGAGCTCAAGTAACTGCAAGAGGGATCACAACTCATTTATGCAAGTCAGAACTTCATTGCAAATCTGTTGTGTTAGTGAGTGACAGCAGAGCCAGGTTCTGCACATGACCTGTAAACAACGCAATGAGCTTTCGTGTGCTAAATTATGCCCTTATGTTCTCAGCTACATTCCAGAATTAATGGATTTTATATTTTTTTTATTTTATCTGATACACTCATAACAAATGCTAAAAATCCGAAGGTGCCACGCTGTCTCTTATTCACACTACATTAAACAAAGTTAGTTACCAAAGCCAAAGCATTTCTTAAGAACAAATCGCCTGGTTTCTTTGGCACTCAACTCAAAACAGCTGAAACATATGAAGTTTAAAAAAAATGAAATTCCAACTCCTAAGCCAGGATCTTTTTATGCAGAATTTTACTATGGAGTAATCTTTTGCAGCAATGCTTACAAACCTCTGAAATGGGTGGTTCACAATGTCAACACCACAAACAAAACTACTATATCTGGGATTAATCCCATCTATTTGCTGCTTTGCAAATCTGACTAATGAATGTGTGCTGATTGGAGACAAAGCAGAGATGGGGAAGGTAAAGGAGAGAAGACAGACAGTTGTAAGAGGAGATTTGAAGAGAATCAAATGTAGTAGTCCTGCAATGCTGAGCTATCTTCAGCACACAGAATCAACAAGGTATACTGCCCTTGCTAGAAATAGATGACATCTCTGTTTTAAGTGGTAACAGGATCATACAGGCATCTGTGATTTGAAGCACAACCAAACTTGTTTCAATTTCGATCCAAAGGATGGCATTAGTGCTGAGAACACCACACAGGAGCCATCTGGAGGTATAGTGCCAGTGCAAGAAACCAACTTACTGAGATAACCAGAAGAGAAACTGATGTCAAGTGGAACTACACCCACTCAGTATCCTTGAAGTGCAGGGAATAAGCCAACAGACTGGCAACTCTGAGAAATACATATGCTGGAGAAGTGTTCCATTTTTCTCTTTCAAAACTATTTAAATATTTACAAACCAAATGAAAAGATATCCTGAGATCACCATCTTCTGGGGAGATGTCGGATATCAGAGCATCTCCCTTTATTGGCTACAATAGAATCCACTTTCCCCTCACAAAATTAAAAAATTAACACAAGACAACAGACACACAAAATATTAGAACTGGTCCAGCCCCCGCACTCATAGCAGGACCAACCACCATCTAGACCAGGGCTACTCAACATGCGGCCCACAGCGCGGTTTGGGTTTACACAGGGCTTAACACGTGGCCCACAGGTGGGAGCCAAAACAAAAAAAGTAGTCAGTATAATGGCCTTCTGTTGATAGGCGTTTTAGCAGTTAAATTCCTGGAATGTCATTGCTCATTAAAAGTGCTATCATCTAGGTGGAAATCGGGTAAATATTGCATTTTATTAATATCAGTAGAACTGACTTAAATGGGGCCTGTGTGTTGTGTAGTCTTGCCTTAGTCTTTGTATTCATGCCAGTCAATGCAAAAGAAGCTATTTGCATATATATTTGCATGTATATGCAACCACACTTAAGTTGCAGCCCTCAGCATGTGGTCTCCTCATCTCAAAAAGAACTAGGCACCACCAAATGAAATTGGGCAGCAGGTTTAAAACAAGTAAAAGGAAGTTCTTCTTCACACAGCGCATAATCAATCTGTGGAACTCCTTGCCAGAGGAGGCTGTGAAGGCTAGGACTGTAACAGAGTTTAAAAGAGAACTAGATTAATTCATAGAGGATAAGTCCATAAATGGCTATTAGCCATAATCATTTTTCTCCCTCCTCATTACACTCATTTAGGTACCAGAAAGCTGTTGTCCCCTCTGTCTTCCCTTTCCCCCCCAAAAACAACTCAGGTCTTTCAGTCTTCCCTTCTAGGCCATGTTTTCTAGACTTTTAATCATGTTTGTTTGCTTGCCTCTAAACCTTTTTCAATGTGTCCAAATTTTTCCTGATGTGGTACCCAGAACTGTACAGAGTACTCCAGATGAGGCCTAATCAGCACAGAGTAAAGCAGAATTACTACTTCTCATGTCTTGCTCACAACACTCCTGTCAATGCATCAAAGAATGAGGTTTTGTTTTTTTTTCGCAACAGTGTGCAACAGCCTCTGTATCGGGCGAGTGGGATCCAGTGCACTGTTGACTCATTTAGCTTGTAGTCCCTATGACCCCTAACATAGTTGCATTAAACGTAAGGTCCCCTCGGCGCACAGTTTTTGTATGGATAATTATTTTGGTATGGAATGTGGGGGTTGTTTATTTTTAAACAGAAATAGATATACTGACACATCCCTTATCCTAGATGCAGTTATACTGGCATAAAGGGGCCTTATACCAACATAAGTATTCCCAGGAGGGGAGTAATCTATACTAGTATAAGAACCTTCATATCAGCAAAACTGCAACCACACTAGGGAGCTGTACTTCTAACTATTCTGGTATATTTAAAGAAATACAATGGCAAATGCACAAAGTCTAAAAGAATCTAAGGTAGTCCTAACTGTTCCACAATATCATAGAATCATAGAACTGGAAGGGACCTCGAGAGGTCATCGAGTCCAGCCCCCTGCCTTCAAGGCAGGACCAAGCTCTGTCTACACCATCCCTGACAGATGTCTATCCAACCTGTTCTTAAATATCTCCAGAGAGGGAGATTCCACCACCTCCCTTGGCAATTTATTCCAATATTTGACCACCCTGACAGTTAGGAATTTTTTCCTAATGTCCAATCTAAACCTCCCTTGCTGCACTTTAAGCCCATTACTCCTTGTCCTGTCCTCAGAAACCAAGAGAAACAAATTTTCTCCTTCCTCCTTGTGACACCCTTTTAGATATTTGAAAACCACTATCATGTCCCCCCTTAATCTTCGTTTTTCCAAACTATAGTTGTCCTAGTTTCCATTTTTTATATGACTCCTTTTTTATTTTGAGATCGTGCAAGATCTCCTTGTTAAGCCAAGCTGGTCTTTTGCCATATTTTCTATCTTTCCTACACAGCGGAATTGTTTGCTTTTGGGCCCTTAACAACGTCCCTTTGAAATACTTCCAACTCTCCTCAGTTGTTTTTCCCTTCAGTCTTGCTTCCCATGGGACCTTACCTACAAGTTCTCTGAGCTTATCAAAATCTGCCTTCCTGAAATCCATTACCTCAATTGTGCTGGTCTCCCTTCTACCTTTCCTTAAGATCATGAACTCTATTATTTCGTGATCACTGTCCCCTATACTGTCTTCCACTTTCAAGTTCTCAACTAGTTCCTCCCTATTTGTTAAAACCAAATCCAGAACAGCTTCTCCTCTGGTAGCTTTTTCAACCTTCTGAAACAGAAAGTTGTCTCCAATGCAGTCCAGAAACTTATTGGATAGCCTGTGCCTCGCTGTGTTAGTTTCCCAACATATGTCTGGATAGTTGAAGTCCCCCATCACCACCAAATCTTGGGCTTTGGATAGTTTTGTTAATTGTTTAAAAAAGGCCTCATCCACCTCTTCCACCTGGCTAGGTGGCCTGTAGTAGACTCCTAGCATGATATCACCCTCGTTTTTTACCCCTTTTAGCTTAACCCAGAGACTCTCTACACAGCTATCTCCTACATTCATCTCCACTTCAGTCCAAGTGTGTACATTTTTAATATACAAGGCAACCCCTCCTCCCTTTTTTCCCTGTCTGTCCTTCCTGAGCAAGCCGTACCCTTCCATACCAACATTCCAATCATGTGTCCCATCCCACCAGGTTTCTGTAATACCAATGATATCATAGTTGTATTTATTGGTTAGCAATTCCAGTTCTTCCTGCTTATTACCCATACTTCTCGCATTTGTATATAGGCATCTAAGATACTGATTTGATCTTGCCTCCCTGTTGTGCCCTGACCCTCCTTTCTCCTTGCCATTATAGGCCGTAGTCCCCCCAATTTCCAACCCATCTCCCAGTCAAGCACATTCAGCACTTAACTGTGGGCTTTGCTCACCTGTCCCTGTCGAACCTATATATATTACTGACATATGCAGGCAAGTTTTCACCCTTACCTCTTTTGTCTCCTCGGGGTCAGAATGATCCACAGTTACATACAAGTCATTCTGTAAGTATTTCAGTGCACTGAGTGGGTCCGTTAAGGCCTTTTCTTCAAACCTGTACATTAGAAAGAGATAAGTAACTTGCACATGGTTACAATATACACAAAATAAACACTAATTTCTCTTAACCTGAGCTCAGTTATCAAACATACTCCCTTCATTTGTGGGAGTAAAAAACAAAAAAAATGCACATGCAAACTATTCAGCTATTCCTGTGTAAAGTGCGTGACTTCTGTGACTGGTGGGGAGCAAAAAGGGTACTTTCTCCATATGATGCATTATCACCCTCTTTAAAACAAGAACTTAAACTCACTCTAGGACACACAGTGCTTAAAACTAGGGATATTCACATGTACACTTAATCGATAAACCTTGGCTGATCTTAACTACATGCACTCCCTTTGCCCCCGCTGCCTCTATCGGGGGAGTGGGATCCAGTGCCTGTGAGGATCGGGCTTTAAGCATGCTCCCCACGAGCATGGGATCTACCTACCCCACCAGTGCTGTCTCTGATACCAAGGCAGCAGTGCGATAGACTGGAACAGATAAGTGAAGGGATCTGGCTCTCATGCAGGCTCCTTGTGGGTGTTGGCTCCACCAATCTGGCTACAGTGCCTTCCCCCACTGCCTTCTAAGAGGCAGGGTGGGCAGGCAGGCAACAGCCAATGCTGAGGGGGAGTTGGCTTAAAAGCCAGTTCCCCTAGCACCAGCTTCACGGTGCTGCCTACCCCTCCCCTGTGCTGCTGCTGTCCAAGCTCCCCATCGACAGAAGCTGGTCCGGCAGCGGCCCTGTCCATGGGGGAGCCTGGACTCTCCTGCAGACAGGGGCTGCTACCGTGGACCAGCCTCTGTTTGTGGCGAGCCCAGGCTGCCTTGTACAGAGGCTGCTTTGTGGCAGACTCTTATGTCCCCTCCCATCCCCCCACAGCAGGCTCTGTTTGCAGCAGCATGGAGCAGCAGGTGGAGCTGGTCTTCAAACTGGTTCCCCTTGTAGACCAGCTCCCACCTGCCACCCCTCACTGCTGCCTCTGATACACAGAGAGTAGCAGGGAGTGACGGGGGCTCCCCGGGAGTGGGGCCGGGAGCACACTGGGGACTAGCCAATGTGTAACCTCTAAGATTTTATGCAGTCACACAATTATTCAATTACACTAAATCTAACATCCATACTTCAGCCACTTCTATGAAGAGGCACATTATAATCATCTCTAGAGCATCACCTGATGGAACAGAGGATTTCTTAAGATCGTGTCTTCATGTATATGTCCCAAACACCATAAAGAGACACAGAAAACATAAACCAGAACTACATCAAATTCAGACATTTTGCAATGCAGATATCCACAGATTTGCAGGGCTCATAATAGTGTAGCTGATTAAACAATTGACCAATATCCAAAAGCTTATCAGTTAACGCTATCAACTACATGCATTTGCCCCTCCTCTGCCAAGAAATTTTTTAGAGGGCTGGCCAGCTGCGTGGTTCAGTCCTGGCTGGTGCTGGGTCCCCAGAGCCATCCCCACTGTGGCTCTGCAGAAAAAGTATTTTAGGATCCAGGTGGACACTGAGCCGGGCTGCCTCCTCACCCAGCTCCTAAATTACTTTTTCTGCAGAGCCACCACAGGGGTAGCTCCCGAGACCTGGCATGAGCTGTGACTGAGTGCTATCCCTTATCGATGAACCGTGTAGTCGACAACATTTTTGTTAACTACAAGATTAACAAAATACACGCTTCTTAACATCCCTACTTTACAAGTGGTTTTATTTAAGGAAGTTTTGAAGACTTGTCCCTTGCTACCATCCTTCACAAGGTATATTTCACAATTGAGAGACCCCTGCCTTATTAGCAGAGCCTTGCAGAAAGTATGTTCCTAGCTAAACAGGAGCAGTGGTGTCAATTAACTCCCTCTGCAACAATTAACAAGAAGTGTTAAATCACTGGCTGTCCAAGGCTTCAGCACAGCTTGATGATGCAGCAATGCTCCTATCTGCACTACAAAATATAATTGTGTTGGGAATAGCCATAATATAACCAGCTTTAACAAAAGCCAAACAAACTCCTTTAATTCAGACAGTGAATTACACAAATACAAGAGTGAGAAGATTTCTTCTACAGAAATATCAGTTTGCAGCCCTCAAGCACAAGGACTGCTATACCTCAACTTTTTATCTAGATAACATAGCCAAAAGTGCCAAAGGACCCCTCTAGTAGCCACCCCTTCCCCAATCCCATAACTCCACAAGGGAGACCTCCCAAACAATATGGGGGCACTAGCACCAGTTGGTATCTTTGCCCTCCCTCAATTTGAACTTTGGAGAAAGCTGAAAAAAAGGTGACACAAGAAGCAGCCAAACCAGAGATTGCTGCACTCAGGATGAGGGGGAAATGGGGCTCAGATAGAGCCACCACTTGCACACACACACAGAAAACTCCTGGTCTCAGAATGGTCGAGAGGGGCAGAGAAGACACCTACACTGCCAAGCACTCTGAGGACAACCTGATTATGTCCTCCTCCCTGCCCCTGGGCACATTCTGGGCCCTGGCTTGGAAGAAAGCTGCAAAGAGCCAGCTAGAGATTCCAGCCAGGCTGGGCGAAGCAATCACAGCAAGGATCCTAGGAGAACTTCCCCTAGTTTTGACTGGTCTTTCTGTTCCCTGTATTGATTGCCAGGGTTGTACTAAGAAGCCAGTCTCTCCATCTCAACTTCACTGTTCTTCCCTTCCTTGTGCCCCTTGCCTCTACCTTTCAGCATCCCCTCTCCCTTCTTTTTAGCTTATCCCCTTCTAACTAAACCTACCAACCTCCCTTGCAAAACAGAACCAACAGGACATCAATTTATCAGATTGTTTGGTCTGCACGTATGTTCTGCCATTTCCCTCACTCCGAGTATCTTTTTTTGGGGGGCGGGGGTGCAGGGATTCATTTTTCTGTGTTTGTACAGTGCCTAAAAACAACGAGTCCCTGGTTCAAGACTGAAGTCTTACAGCACTATGGTAATATTAATAAATATATATATATATATATATAAATGAAATAATAAAATAATAAAATAATAGTTAATTCAATGGTTTTATATGCTGCTATCTTTACTTTGGCAACAAGTTACAGAGGTTGCCTTAAGCTTTCCTTTAATCTCTTTTAAATGGGTTGGTTACATTTTAAAATCTCAGTTTCATCCCACTGCCATGTTATAAGGCTGAAGAAACAGGAGCAGCCAAGTGGTTTCCATCAACCAAGGCACATCTACACAGCAGGGCTTAACTTGAAATAAGCTATGCAAATTGAGCTACATCAATTGCGTAGCTTATTTTGTGTTGTAGTGCTATCTACTCAGCACTTATTTCAAAACAGAACACTCTTCCTCCAACTTCCCTTACTCACAAAATGAGGGTTACAAGAGTCGGAGTAAGAAATCCTCCAGCTTGACCGTATTTAGACATGACATCAAAATAAGTGCCGGCTGTGTGGACACGGACTAAGTTATTTCGAAATCATGCTGCTGTGTAGACATAACCTAAGTCACTGTTTTATACACTAGCAGACGCAGAGAGATTAAGGCCAGAAGAAACTACTGCGATCTAATCTGATTTTTTTGCATATGACAAGCCGGAGCAACTTAGCAATTCACTTCTATATTATGATCACAGCTTCTGTTTGAACTATACCAGATCTTTTAGAAAGACATCCATTTATTTTTACTTCAAACGGAAACTAACCAACAACTAGGGTTGCAAGGTGTCTGGTATTCAACCGAACAATCCAATTTTTAGGCCGTCTGTTCAGGAAAAAAAATTCAGAAAATACCAGACATGCCCAATATCTGGTATTTTCTGGTTTTCCAGCTGGGTGCCCAACGAAAGCCTGGCGGGGCTGAGGGGGCGCTGGGAGCCTCTGGTTGTGTCTGACGCAAGAGTGATGCCTTGGGGAGGAGGAGAGGCCCTGACCATGCTCTTGAGCGCTGTTGAAGCGCGTTGTGGAGCAGTAGCTGGACTCGCTCGTGCTTCACCGGGACCGTGCGCGGGACAGGCAGTGCCCTGGGATCTGCATGTGCCCAGGTCAGTCCTGCTCCCCCGCCAGC